GTCATTGGGCTTACAGTACAAATCTGATGACATTACTTCATTCCTTACTTGTGTAGAAGTGTCAAGAGGAAAGTATTGGTGTTTGTCATTGGGCTTACAGTACAAATCTGTTGACATTTCTACATTTCTTACTTGTGTTGTAGTGTCAAGAGGAAATTATTGATGTTTGTCATTGGGCTTACAGTACAAATCTGTTGACATTTCTTCATTTCTTACTTGTTTTGTAGTGTCAAGAGGAAAGTATTGGAGTTTGTCATTGGGCTTACAGTACAAATCTGTTGACATTACTACATTCCTTACTTGTGTTGTAGTGTCAAGAGGAAAGTATTGGTGTTTGTCATTGGGCTTACAGTACAAATAAATAAATGCAAAAGTAGTGTACCGCTGTTCAATAGTCATAAATCGATTAAGCGAAAACAAATCCGGGCCAGAAACCAAAAACTAGGAAAACACATCAAGATCTTGGTATCGATTTCCATCAAATTTTCATTGATAATGTATAATAATTCATCAAAATTTGGATGGTGTGCCGCAATAATGGGAATGTTTTTTTCTCACCCATTCCCCTATATACTTAAAAATGTTCATTACGGCTAATATTGTTTGCACGAGAGAATCCTTAGTTTTATTAATGGTTTTTTTCCCTGAAGCCTGACTGTAGGCGATACTCAACTTTAGTACAGAGTTATGGATGACAACTCAGGGAAGAAGATATTGTTGAAATTCATTGGGCTTACAGTACAAATCTGTTGACATTACTACATTCCTTACTTGTGTTGTAGTGTCAAGAGGAAATTATTGGAGTTTGTCATTGGGCTTACAGTACAAATCTGTTGACATTACTACATTCCTTACTTGTGTTGTAGTGTCAAGAGGAAAGTATTGGTGTTTGTCATTGGGCTTACAGTACAAATCTGTTCAAACTACTTCATTTCTTACTTGTGTTGTAGTGTCAAGAGGAAAGTTTTGGTGTTTGTCATTGGCTTACAGTACAAATCTGTTGACATTACTTCATGTCTTACTTGTGTTGTAGTGTCAAGAGGAAAGTATTGGTGTATTTCATTGGGCTTTCAGTACAAATCTGTTGACATTACTAAATTCCTTACTTGTGTTGTAGTGTCAAGAGGAAAGTATTGGTGTTTGTCATTGGGCTTGCAGTACAAATCTGTTGACATTACTTCATTTCTAACTTGTGTTTTAGTGTCAAGAGGAAAGTATTGGTGTTTGTCATTGGGCTTACAGTACAAATCTGTTGACATTACTACATTCCTTACTTCTGTTGTAGTGTCAAGAGGAAAGTATTGGTGTTTTTCATTGGGCTTACAGTACAAATCTGTTGACATTACTTCATTTCTTACTTGTGTTGTAGTGTCAAGAGGAAAGTATTGGAGTTTGTCATTGGGCTTACAGTACAAATCTGATGACATTACTTCATTCCTTACTTGTGTAGTAGTATCAAGAGGAAAGTATTGGTGTTTTTCATTGGGCTTACAGTACAAATCTGTTGACATTTCTACATTCCTTACTTGTGTTGTAGTGTCAAGAGCAAATTATTGATGTTTTCATTGGGCTTACAGTACAAATCTGTTGACATTACTTCATTTCTTACTTGTGTTGTAGTGTCAAGAGGAAAGTATTGGAGTTTGTCATTGGGCTTACAGTACAAATCTGTTGACATTACTACATTCCTTACTTGTGTTGTAGTGTCAAGAGGAAAGTATTGGAGTTTGTCATTGGGCTTATTGTACAAATCTGTTGACATTACTACATTCCTTACTTGTGTTGAAGTGTCAAGAGGAAAGTATTGGTGTTTGTCATTGGGCTTACAGTACAAATCCGTTGACATTACTTCATTTCTTATTTGTGTTGTAGTGTCAAGAGGGAAGTATTGGAGTTTGTCATTGGGCTTACAGTACAAACCTGTTGACATAACTGCATTCCTTACTTGTGTTGTAGTGTCAAGAGAAAAGTATTGGTGTTTGTCATTGAGCTTACAGTACAAATCCGTTGACATTACTTCATTTCTTATTTGTGTTGTAGTGTCAAGAGGAAAGTATTGGTGTTAGTCATTGGGCTTACAGTACAAATCTGTTGACATTACTTCATTTCTAACTTGTGTTGTAGTGTCAAGAGGAAAGTATTGGAGTTAGTCATTGGGCTTACAGTAGAAATCTGATGACATTACTTCATTCCTTACTTGTGTAGTAGTGTCAAGAGGAAAGTATTGGAGTGTGTCATTGGGCTTACAGTACAAATCTGATGACATTACTTCATTCCTTACTTGTGTAGTAGTGTCAAGAGGAAAGTATTGGTGTTTGTCATTGGGCTTACAGTACAAATCTGTTGACATTTCTACATTTCTTACTTGTGTTGTAGTGTCAAGAGGAAATTATTGATGTTTGTCATTGGGCTTACAGTACAAATCTGTTGACATTACTACATTCCTTACTTGTGTTGTAGTGTCAAGGGGAAAGTATTGGTGTTTGTCATTGGGCTTACAGTACAAATCTGTTGACATTACTTCATTTCTTTCTTGTGTTGTAGTGTCAAGAGGAAAGTATTGGAGTTTTTCACTGGGCTTACAGTACAAATCTGTTGACATTACTTCATTTCTTCATTTCTTACTTGTTTTGTAGTGTCAAGAGGAAAGTATTGGTGTTTGTCATTGGGCTTACAGTACAAATCCGTTGACATTACTTCATTTCTTATTTGTGTTGTAGTGTCAAGAGGGAAGTATTGGAGTTTGTCATTGGGCTTACAGTACAAATCTGTTGACATAACTGCATTCCTTACTTGTGTTGTAGTGTCAAGAGAAAAGTATTGGTGTTTGTCATTGAGCTTACAGTACAAATCCGTTGACATTACTTCATTTCTTATTTGTGTTGTAGTGTCAAGAGGAAATTATTGGTGTTAGTCATTGGGCTTACAGTACAAATCTGTTGACATTACTACATTCCTTACTTGTGTTGTAGTGTCAAGAGGAAAGTATTGGTGTTTGTCATTGGGCTTACAGTACAAATCTGTTGACATTACTACATTCTTTACTTGTGTTGTAGTGTCAAGAGGAAAGTATTGGTGTTTGTCATTGGGCTTACAGTACAAATCCGTTGACATTACTTCATTTCTTATTTGTGTTGTAGTGTCAAGAGGAAAATATTGGTGTTTGTCATTGGGCTTACAGTACAAATCTCTTGACATTACTACATTCCTTACTTGTGTAGTAGTGTCAAGGGGAAAATATTGGTGTTTGTCATTGTGATTACAGTACAAATCTGTTGTCATTACTAAATTCCTAAATTGTGTAGTATGGTCAAGAGAAAGATATCAGTGTCTGTCACTGGGCTAACAGTACAAATATGTTAACATTACTCCGTTCCTCACTTGTGTAGTATGGTCAAGAGAAAGATATACGGGTCTGTCATTGGGATTACAGTACAAATCTGTTGACATTACTCAATCTTACTTGTGTAGTAGTGTCAAGAGGAAAATATTGGTGTTTGTCATTGTGCTTACAGCACAAATCGTTTGACATTACTCCGTTCCTCACTTGTGTAGTATGGTCAAGAGAAAGATATCAGTGTCTGTTATTGGGCTTACAGTACAAATCTGTTGACATTACTCCGTTCCTCACGTGTGTAGTATGGTCAAGAGAAAGATATCAGTGTCTGTCATTGGGCTTACAGTACAAATCTGTTGACATTACTCTGTTCCTCACTTGTGTAGTATGGTCAAGAGAAAGATATCAGTGTCTGTTATTGGGCTAACAGCACAAATCTGTTGACATTACTCCGTTCCTTACTTGTGTAGTAGTGTCAAGAGGAAAATATCAGTGTCTGTCATTGGGCTTACAGTACAAATCTGTTGACACGACTCAGTTCTTAACTTGTGTAGTATGGTCAAGAGAAAGATATCAGCGTCTGCAATTGGACTTACAGTACAAATCTGTTGACATTACTCAATCTTATTTGTGTAGTAGTTTCAAGAGGAAAATATTGGTGTTTGTCATTGTGCTTACAGTACAAATCTGTTGACATTACTAAGTTCCTTTCTTGTGTAGTATGGTCAAAAGAAAGATATCAGTGTCTGTCATTGGGCTTTCAATAAAAATCTGTTGACATTACTTGTGTAGTTATGTCAAAAGAATAATAATATTGGTGTATTTCATTACTACATTCTTTTCTTGTGTAGTAGTGTTGAGATATATCCTTTTGTTATTCACCGTTACAGATATAGGCAATGGGCAAAATTAAATATAAACTAATTCTTGAGTAAAATGTGCAGAATAAATGGCAAAAAAAAAAAGGAAAGAGAAAAATAGGGCAAAAAAGTTAAGAATAGAGAATAACAGGTTGCTAAAACATAAAGATCAAAGAATAATGGGTTGCTAAAACATAAAGAATAGAGAATAATGGAAAGCTAAAACATAAAGAACAGAGAATAATTGGTTGCTAAAACATAAAGAACAGAGAATAATGGGTTGCTAAAACATAAAGAACAGAGAATAATGGAAAGCTAAAACATAAAAAGAATAGAGAAAATGACCTAAAAAATTAAAGAATACAGAAATGAAGGACCCCCATCCAGATCCTCAATAACAGTTAGGTTTTTAATTTTCTTTTCGATACAACTTCAATTTACCCAATTTTCTTTGTTCTGTGCATTATTATGCCATGATTTTGTGCTTAACACTCTAGAATTTCACTTTGTAATAATTGTAAAGAGTGATACAAATTAATGCACGTGGCTTCCTGCCACTGCTTCCTCTATTTTTAACAACTGCTTCCCTCGAAATCTAAATAAAAAATAAGATGACTCAAATGTTTGCGTTATTTCGTAAAGGTTCGCGTTATAAGTAAACGCTAACATAGGAAGAAGCATAAAAAAGTTTGCATTGCGCTAATACTTTTTCGTACAAAACTCTATTAAAGTTGATCGTTTGTTATCGGTTCAATAAACATATATTGCATTGCATTGATTGGTATTGTATTACATACTAGATACCCGTATGTAGAAATGACTTGTCGACAATCGGTAATATTTATAAAGGAAACGAAAATGGAAATTCTTTTTAACCAAGACAGAGACATATAATACAAATGTATTATATGTCTCTGACCAAGAGGACTATTTTTAAAGGTAATTTTAGTTAGTTCTGTTGAATAATATTAATATGAAAGTTGTTTTCCGTTTGTTTGATGTGTTTGAGCTTTTGATTTTGCCATTTGATAAGGGACTTTACGATTTGAATTTTCCATGGAGCTCGGCATTTTTGTTATTTTACTTTTCATTATTCAGACAGTAATATTGGTATCGTAAAATCTATATTTGTGTGTTACATTAAATGACCTTCATGAGAAGAAAATAATATTGTAGATTTTCGTGAACATGGGCGTATCAAGGATGCATCTTATGTTGAAAAATGTGTTTTTAGCTCTTTTTTTTTAAAGTTTTGACAGCCTGCTTTTTAATCTACTCCTCCGTATCTTCCTCCCTTTATCAAAGTCCTGGATCTGCCACTGGTGAAAGATATCATATTTTACACGTATATATGTCCTCTTTGAGGACCTCATTCTGAAATGTAAGAAGACAACTTTTCAAGTAACTATTTTACCAAGTTATTTAATTCAATTCATAGTAAACCAAATAGAAAAGCTGGACTTCATAAAACAAACTTGCTAAGCCTTATAAGATGCACATATTTATTAGTTTAAAATAAACTTATAAACAAGTCTTACAGGTTTTTCAATCGTCTTTGTGTATCGCCCCGTAAATGACTTGATTAACTAGTGATAGCTATCAGTGCTCTTTCAATAGGTAGCTTACAAAGGTAAATCTATTTAAAGGTCCATCTAACGAGAATTAAACATAACTTCCTTATTCATTGTACACGCAAATGTATGTAATAGTTATACACCGAGGGATAGGTGTGTCTGGATAAGAAACCCCGTCGGCCGGAGGCCGGAGGGGTTTCTTATCCAGACACGCCGTATCCCGAGGTGTATAACTAACTTACACCCCATTCTAAACCCTATATTTGTTAACATTGATTATTAAATGAAAAAAAAAAACAAAACGAAAGACAATATTAAACCATGATTTATAAGAATTTTTTTTTTATTACATGAAACCCCACTAGTAACCTTTCTTTGGTTATCTTCGTTCAAACTTTGACAAGTGAGTATATTTTACAAATGTAAAGTTGTTTTGCATATTCCCGTTAAATCCATGTGCTTATGTGGATCAGCAGGTCAAGGTTGAGTGTTACGTGTATTCTTATTACAATCAAAAAATACATCATGCTCCTGGTATACAGTTAATTGTCAATATGGACGGGTATAAGACGGACGACATTTTGTGGCAAGCGTTGGATTTGGTAGAAGAGACTAAAGATAAAGGCAATATTATAACCCAAAGTACTTACCTGTATCAGTTTAATAAAGGTAATCATAACTGTATTTTCTATCTTACGATTTTATCAAAAACAACCCCCCCCCCCCCCCCCCCCCCTCTTCTCGAGAATAAACAAACATTCATATTCGAACATACTAAGGGATATGTGTATCTGCATTAGAAACCCGACTACCAGACACGCTCAACATACAATATTTAATATTGAGGAACTCCCTTTTGGGGGGGGGATCAGGGGCTGATCAAGCCGGGGGTTCCCAACTCAAGAGAAAAAGGGGGGTCCAACCATTCAAATGCATTGATCTTTTAAATAAAAGTCGGGTCCAATCCGCGGAACCCCCAAACCCCGGATCGGCCACTGGGTAAGGGGGGGGGGGGGGGGTACGGGAGTTAGAATCCCCATTTTTTTTAAAAGATCAATGCTTTAGAATAGAGACATATGGCTGGGATAAAAAAAATTACCTTCAAGCAAATTTAAGAGTATTTAAAGGATTATTTTTGAATTCCATATGGATGCTTAATTATTGGAATTTCCTAAAATGTGGTTTTTTTTTTAATATCATGAAACAATTTGTAGTGAACACTATTAGTTATTTCTTATGTTCGTGCTATTTAAAAAATAATCAATTTCTATTGTTACGAATAACAATGGACTTTGTTTGCGGGATGTAGAAGCAGGGGTTTCCAGAAACCCCGCTCGTCACACCCTGTGGTCAAAATCCATTGTTATTCGTTACAATAGATCTATTCAATTTACACTTGTTTCAGAAATAGAAACTATGAAGTATAACAATAGAACTGGGGTGTAACATTGATTATACCATTTGAATGATCCAGTCAGGTGGCCTAGACATAAATTATTTTCCTGAATGTGACCTACCGAATTAGACTTATTACCGGATTTGTACTTACATGAGCTACACGACGGGTGCCACATGTGGAGCAGGATCTGTTTATCCTTCCGGAGCACCTGAGATCAACCTCAGTTTTTATGGGGTTCGTGTTGCTCAGTCTTTAGTTTTCTATGTTTTTGTGTACTATTATTTGTCTGTTGGTCCATTCTTTTTTAGCCATGGCGTTGTCAGTTTGTTTTTGGCTTATGAGTTTGAATGTCCCTCTGGTATCTTTCGCCTCTGTTTTATTGATTTATTTCCTCTGCATGACAACACCTACACTTAAAACAACAATTAAAGCTTTAAGCACAAATCATTCGTCTTTTTCTGGGGTATAGTTAAACATTGTTTATTAAAAAAATATTTTAAAAAGTAAACAACATTGACATGACATAAAATGCTTAGTAAAGAGAAAATCAGCATCTATCTAGAGTACTATTTTTAGTAGCAGGCGCCTTCCGGAGTGTCATTGAACTTATAGACAGGACATTTTTTTTTTGCCCTCCTCCTTATTTCAAAATTATTTTTTGTTTTCTTTTAATTGTAATAATTTTTTTTGTGATTTTCTGTGTTATACTTCCATCAATTTACTACAAACAACGTTTGTTTACGATTTAGGGACTTATCATTTTTTACCTGGGGGGGGGGGGGGGGGGGTGGGGGGTGGTTGGGGTTGGTCATTTGAAGTGAATCATACAAAATTTCTTGATCCCCCCCATAATATTTCCCTATTTTTATTTGATCCCCCCCCTCCCCGTAAAAACATTTAAAAATTGTGATCCCCCCTCTATTATTAAACATGCCAAAATTTTAACATCCAAAACACGTATCATGTTATTTTACGAAAATATTGAAAATGAAATATTCTCAGTGTATTGAGTCCAAAAACACATTGGAGTGAAAATTGCCTTGCAATAGGGCTCTTCCATGAATATTAGTAGGTAGAGCAAGCCAGTGCTTTGAATAGCTTTTTCCGACTTTTTTTCTAATTTCCTATATTGGGCTATTAAGGAAACTTTATCCTAAGTAACTCTGTAAAAATATACATTAAAAAGTAAACTTTGAAACAGTAACAACACATTATTTACTTAGAGGGATCTATTATATGTCCCTCTCTTAAACGCTGCTTAAACTTAAATTTTTACGTAAGGCCTTATTGAAACCTCCATTGGGTCGCTAAACTTTTATATGGATAGTTCATGCTTACAGCTTGAACAATTCAATTACTCATTTATTGTCACATTTCATTCATAAATGTTTGATAGTAACCTCAAGATTTTGATTTATTAGCCTAAAAAGTACAAATTTTGAGGGAGTGAGAGGTATAAATGGACTCAAAGCGATCTTGTAATGAAACAAAAAGATACATTAGTGTTGTTCATCATCTCAGAATCATCTGTTGTATCAATATATTCAACTGTTTGTATGCAGATTAGATGAATATTTTAAAATCATTTATTGGGGAATTTATTGCTCTACACTATATTCTTCCATGATGCGGCGTGATTTGTATTTTTGGACAAAATTTTGCACAAATCGCTGTAGATTTCGTTTTAATTTAAACTTAATTTCTCTCAAACTATTAAGCTAATTATAACAAAACTTGGCAGTAATGCTTGTTAATTTAGTGATCGAAGTGAGTGAAATATAACGACTAAATTATTCGGATTATGAAGCACCTATGCATTTTATATGGGACAAAATGACACAAAATGGCAGCTTCAGATCCTACATCACTAAAGTCTTGTGCTGTCTTACTTAATTGTATATGAATGGTGTTAAAAATATATTTTGATTTATTTTTATTTTATTTCCGTTGAAGAATGTGAACTACTTATTTCGATGTGCAAAAAATATTGATCCCCCCACATTGAATTTATAAAAGAAATTGAACCCCCCTTTTCCACATACAGAAAAAAACTTGATCCCCCTGCATTTTGACCAGCCCCCCTCCCAGATAAAAGATGATAAGTCCCTTATATTACTATCAATTGCTAGTTTATTGTCGACAGCGGTCACTGATAACTTATTTGTATAAGTATTGCCGATTGACGACCAAATGTCAGATTTTTTTCTTCATTTTTTCTATGTGATCTTCATACTGCAAAGCAAATAATGTTTTAGAATGCAGCATTTTTTGTTTTCTTTCAAGAAAACTGTTCACATGATCACATTTAGTACTAGTGCATTGGACAATTCAGAGTCATTTAATATCTTAAAAGGGGTGGATGTTTTTTCCTGAGGGATATCAAAAGCCATTTCTTAGGCCCGATTGGCTCAAAATATATCTGAAGGGTGCCCATTTTTGTTTCTGATGGGTCTTTTGTTGTCTTAATATGTAAAATTGAGGAAATGCTGGCACAATATGGCATCTGAGGGGTTTAAAACAAAATTAAGCACATGAGATATTGAAATTTGCCTGAAATTTTTCTTAGGGGGTCTTTGACAAGGTATATTCCCCCCGGCTTTTCATATCTTAATTGGAACAGAGACATATAATACAATTATATTATATGTCTCTGATTGAAATGTCCCATTATGAAATTGTTTCTATGCAGCATTTTTAATTATTTGTTTACCATATAAGACTAGTCTAGACAAGACTGGAGCAGTCAATATACAAGACTCAGGGCGTGTCCAGGCGGCGTTATTTCAGAAAACGGAATATATCTACTACCGACGAGCGGAAACAGATCTTTTCGCTATTTCGGAATCTGCGACACTTGAATTATTGACGTAATACAACAATCACTTTTCCTTTGTGGCGTCAGACATTTTCTATTGTGACATCAATTTTTTTTTCGGGAATCAAAGGCTATGTGATGTCCAGTAATG